TTGCATCCTTGCTGAACTGGGGGAGGTTGGTGACACAGCAGTGCTGCTCTGCTTGGAGTTCCATCACTTTTGAGTCACTTTTCCTCCAAAAGAAAAAGGAATACTGCTCTTCATTTTCTGATTCTCTAGTCCTTTATCCATCTGATTTATTGGTGAGTTAAAGCTCAATTCACATTTGTTCCACTTTAGAATATCCTTAAAGAATTTGAAACTACTGATGTGGTCATTCATCTTCACAAGATCTGGACAGGTTTTGTTCTTGATAAAGGTTTATTTAAGCAAGTCATCTGTATAGTAGTAAATATGTTTTCCAGCTGTAGCTATCCTAGCAACTTAAAGGTAATTGGTGATGCTCGGAGTTGGTAACTCAAGCATTTAAAACCAGGAGTGGTTAAAGTTTAATCCACGATGATAATGTGGCGATAGAAACCGTGTGTCAGGATTCATTCTTCACCTGGAGAACATAGTAGGGTCTCTGAGGGAACACGGGATGGCTACAACAGACCTCTTTAATGCTTAAAAGTAGGATTTTCCACCATGAACAGGTACCCAAACTGCTCGACTAATCACACTCAAATTTGGAGTCATTATTTAGTACTTGCACTGGGCATCCCTCAACTGACCATTAACATAGCATCTGTGATCTTCAACTGCATAGTCATCTTCACCAGGATTGCAACAAAGGATCTGCACAAGCCTATCTCTATACTTTTCTGCAATTTGGCCTTTTCTGATCTCTTCACCAGCTTTTCTGGCTTTTGGATTTCGATGCTGTTCATCACCAATCCTGACATTACAATCTTTGGATCCGAGGACATGCTTGCACCTTACGCCTTTTACACCATGTCTATTTTATCCACCATCTATAACTTGGTAAGCATTGCAATTGAACGCTACTTGGCTGTGGCTGAAAGCATGAGGACAAGGTTCAGGGTTGCTAGAAACCATTCCATAGCTGCAGTTTTAATTAGCTGGGTCCTGGCTTTCTTTCTGGGCTGCTTGCCATTGATGGGGTGGAACTGCTTGAGTACGGGAAAAAATCTCTCTGTCCTCTACAGTCCTTTTTGCGTTGACTATCTTATCTTCATCACCATTCCCAATGTTGTGGTGGCTTTCCTTATACCTCTGTTCACTTACCTTAGAATCATTATCATCTTGAGGAAAAGAAAGCTGAGAATGAAAGCATGTGGACAAGCCACTGGCACCTACAAATCTGCTGAAACCCAGGTTGCCAGAACCAGTATTTTCATTTGGCTCCTGGCATTGATCTCCTATGCTCCTGTATTCGCAGGAGTCTTATTTGATGCAATTAACAAGCGGTGCCACACTGACCTCTACCCAGGAGTCTATATCTTCCGAAACTGCACAGCTATGTTGATGACCATGAACTGTTTGGGGAACCCCATCATATATACCCTGAAAGCCAAAACTCTGGGGGCTAAGATCAAGGCTCTGAAATGCCTCTTCACCGCCCGTGTCCGAGCCTGCACCCTTGAGAACATCTAGCTGGGACTGCCCTTGGTCCAGCACTGCCTTTGGTCTGGGACTGCTGATGTGCCTGGCTGGTGTAGTCAAGGACCTGAAATCACAGCGATCCCTGCCCATGCCCAGGCACTGCAGCAGCTCTGAGTGCCACAGGGTCCCTGTGGAAGGGCCATTGGAGCTCCGTGGCTTCTCGCAGCAGCATCCATCACCTTTGGGAGGGAGAGGATGAGCTGCAGCCTGGCGCTGGGCAGCGTGGTGACTTGCAGCAGCCCCTTGTGAAGTGCTGCATGGAGCGCGTCCGCTTGCCTTGCTGCAGAGTGGAGCAGAGAACTCCTTCACTCAGAGATAACTCCATTAACCACGTTTACTTTGTGTTTGGAAAGAAGCTCCTGCTTGGCTTGCTTCGCTGCTGACATTCACATCCTTGGTGTTATCTGTATGGTTTTGAAGATGGCTGAAAGATCTGCAGTAATCTGGGTGAAAATGCAATTTTACCTTCTCACAGTCAGTCCAATTGTGTCTTTGGATATTTGATGGAGCTCTCTCTTAACGGGGGCACTCAGCACTGTTTCACTGTTGTAATTTTAACTGCAGTATGCAGCTGGATTACATGGTTTTATGGGACACTTGTGACTATGCTTTTCTTTTATAAGAGCAAGTAGTGACAGGACAAAGGGGAATGACTTTAACCTCACAGAGGGGAGATTGAGATGAGATATTGTGAAGAAGTTCCTTCCTGTGAGGGTGCTGAGGCGCTGGCACAGGGTGCCCAGAGAAGCTGTGGCTGCCCCATCCCTGGCAGTGTTCAAGGCCAGGTTGGACACAGGGGCTTGGAGCAAGCTGCTCTAGTGGAAGGTGTCCCTGCCCATGGCAGGGGTTGGAGCTGGATGATCTTAAGTTCTCTTCATGATCCTATGATATTTCTGGTTATAAACAGAGGCACGCTCAAGTCCATGGCTTTTAAAATTCGTGTTGTTCTAGGAGAAAACCTCACTTGAATTCTTCAGTATCAGAATTGCAGTCGAGTTGCCGGTACAAAAATGGAAGTGTCAAGACCAGGGATTCTTTAAAAGGAGAAGGTTTTACCCCCTTTGTCTCCAAAAAATAGAAATTGGCTACTGAATAGTCAATCTGTCAGGTCCTAGTCCAGATGAATGCATATTCTTGGTTATACCAAGAACAAAATCCCATCAACCTGCTTCTGAGCGGGTGTGAGAAACAGGCATGTTCTGTGTATGAGATGGTTCACCCCCAGTGTCAGAACCGGGCAGGTGCCACCACAGCGATGAAGCCACCACTCAGTGGTAGTGGTGGTTGTAAACCCCCTCCTCTGGGCTGCTTTACATTGGAGAACTCGGGGAGAAATTCTTTCATCTGAATTAAACTTCTGACACTTAAGGAAATGGATGGAACTAAAGCGTGTGCAATTAAAATGAATGATTTAAATGGATACTGTAACTCAGGCAGATCACACTGCCTCTGCTTCCCTTCTGCTTTGGGCTCTGCACCACTAACCTGGGAAGAGTCTGTCTGGAACCTGAGCATCTGCCTCTGAACTTAGGAACGGGAGAGCCAACCACAGCTTACCACGGGGCAGATGGTACGGGTCAGCCTGGGGCGGGTTTGTTGCGTGATATTTATGATATGATATGGTTTTGATTCATCTCTGTATCGACATTGGCAAAGCGACCTGAATATGTAACACATATTCACTGCCGCTGTGATTGTCGTTTCAAAAGGTGACAGCCACAATCCAGCCGGAACCCCTCCTCAAGAGGGCATGGATATTTGCCTATATATTTACATAAATATATGTTCAAATAAGTATATGTGTGTTTAAATAAACATATGTTTAAATAAATATATGTCATAATAGATATATACTAATATATAAATATAGATATATAAATATTTTATATATTATAATATATATAATATGGATAAATATATATTTACATAAATAAATGTAAATATAAATATTTATATATAAATATATATATTTACATATATATTTTTATTTCATGTACATATATTATTTATCATTTTATTAATGTATTATTTAATTATTAATCTATTAATTTTATTTATTAATCTATTAATTTTATTAATTAATTTATTTATTATTATTTATTATTATTTTCTTTACATATATATTTATATATATGGGGCGCTCGGTCCTTGTCACCCCCCCCCCTTCCATCCCCTGCTCGGCGCTGGCCTAGCGAGCCTGGGTGGAGGCGCTCGGCGCTCTGCGCTCCGCCTGCCGGAAGTGCCGCAGCGCGGGCGCCATGCGGGCCCCGCGGCCGTGCGCTGTGTGCGGGGCGGCCGGGGCGGCCAAGTACCGCTGCCCGCGCTGCGCCGCGGCCTAGTGAGCACCGGCACCGGGCGGGAGGGAGGGAGGGGCGGACCGGGGGCGGTGTGTGGGGGAGCGGCGGCGCGGGGTCCCGGGAGCGGGTCGCTTCCCGCTCTTACCTCCGCTTCTAACGGTGTCTCTCGCCCCGCAGCTGCTCCGTGCCGTGCTGCAGGACACACAGGGGTGAGTGACGGGTGACGGTGGGGCCGGCCGGGCCGTTAACGCCGTTAACGCCGTTCTTTCCCGCAGAGCGCTGCACGCCGGAGCCGAAGCGGGAGCCAGAGGCCTCTGCAGCGCTGCCCGCCCCGCCCGCAGGCAGCCCGTGGTCCGTGGACGACATCCTGAGCGAAGACGACGAACGGGACCGCGTCCCGCTGCAGAAGCTCAAGCTCCTCGGTAACCTCGAGCGGTCAGACACGACCCGGGGAGCGGGGGGGGACCTTCAGCACAGAGAGCTGCGGTTTATCCCGGTCGGGCGCCTTGTAGCAGGATCTTAAAGATGCAAATGTCAGGTCCGTGGTCCTGTGTCGTTTTGAAAGCTCGTTTTTCAAAATAAGGGTGATCTCAACCGAGTTTGTAACAGTTTGAGATTATAGACGAGCACTGTTCATCTCTTTCTAAAGGGGAATCGGAAGAACTGAGAACCCTGCTCCTGAATCCACATCTCCGGCAGCTCCTGCTGACCCTCGATCAAGCAGAAGACAAAAGCTCCCTCATGAAGAAGTACATGCAGGAGCCGTTATTCGTTGAGTTTGCAGACTGCTGCTTGGGAATCGTTGAGCCTCCAGAGAAGGAGAACGTTCTTCCTGAGTGAGCTGCCTTTGGGAACACTTCCCTTTCCTTGAGATTTTTGCCTTGTGACAGAGAGACCAGCAGCACCCGTGCTGGTGTGGTGCACTGTGCTGGGCACTTCCTCAAGGCTTGCTCGTGCTTTGCTCATGGGTGTCAGTGCTCCAATTTAAACAGGGACATGGTCGTATTGGACAGATTTTTAGATGCTAGGAATTAAACTTGATGAATGTGCTTTCTGATGGTACAGAAACACTGTCAACCCTGGGAAACATTGCCTTCCAATGGCAACATTAAATATATTTGCATTTATTTTAATCCACAAACTAATGTGTTTTTGTTAACTAAACCTTGTTGCAGATGGCCAGGCACCTTTATAAGGTATTCAATGGTTTATTTAAAAGTGGCATATACACAGGAGAGCTGAACACTTTCAAGGCTGATACAAGCAGCAAACAGGCAGTGTAGAGCACCTCTGGGGAAAACCCTGGCCCCATGGCAGAGGCCATGCTGTTGACAAGGGCGTCCTAGAAATGCATGGCAGCTGGGAGGATACATGTATTTTGGTTGTATAGATAAAAAACAAATGTTCAGTCTTGCTTTTCCCTGAGACATCTGCCTTTAGTGTTACAGTTGGCTGCTACTCATCCTTCAGTCACAGTCAGAAGTGTTATGTTACTGACCCCCAACAGGAATCCAGCATGTATCAGAAATGTTTGCCTTAGTTGCTCGCTCATTATCAGCCTCTTACTTCTCCCAGGTGGTGCCAGAAGTGTTCACTTCAAGTATTTACTGCTTAAAGCATTTGATTTCTTTTAATTATGTTGAATATTCTCATAGTACTGATATTTCCTCTAATATGTGCATGTGTGTGAGAGGAGGAATGTCCCCCCATTTTAAATTTGAAGCATATTATACATACAATGCATTGATACAGAAAGCTCTGAGGTAGCAGCAGATATGGACGTTGAGTAATTTGAAAGCAGCAGCTTGCAGACAGCCCTTCCCTGAAGGAAAAAGTCCAATAAGATGGCCAAAAGCTATGTTGGAAGGAGTTTTTTTCTGTCCAATAAAATCTGGTTAAATCCAGTGATGGAGTGGGCATCCGTGTGGGGGCTGACATCTGCGTAATGCAGGGGAGACTTCTTACAGTGGAACTTGACAGACCCCTGCAAGAAGAGGAGGAGAGGTCAGCTGATGTTCCTGACCCATTTTGAGCTAATTTTGCTATTCAGACTAAGCAGTGCTTCAATATGTACACAACTAGTGAATAAGGGTAGAGGAAGACCTCCACAGGAGCCCTAGTACAAATGGATTTAAGATAAATGAGTATTACAAAGAGTACCAATACTGTAATTTGAACCTAAACTAACTTAAACTCTGAGGATTTGAGGAGTTAGTACTGAACTTAGTACTGCTTCTTTCTGCTTGTAACTGTGACCAAGCACAGGCTACATTCTTGCACACATAATTTTATGCAACTTCAACAATTTACCAACAAAAAGCAAGCACGAGGTGATTTGTAACCAGAGTGCAATTTCCAAGAGAAGCCAGTGTGTGGGCTGTGGTTCGTTTGTAGGAAGTGGTGTCTAAGACTATTCTGCATGTGCATAGGAGTTTAAATACTTGAGGTTTGCTCCTCACTTTCTGCCATGAAAATCCTCTGTGTGAATCACTCTGTGCAGTTATTTCTTAATACAGAAGCACTGGGATATTATTAATACACCCAGTGGCTTTTCCCCAAGCGGATTCGTTTTCATGGGTTCACCTGTTGTGCAACTTGAATCCCCTAAGCAGAAAACCCAGTACATAATAGCAGAGCCTGTATTAGGATCCTGTTCTCTCCATGTCTAAAGCACAGCTTTGATCAGTTTGTTCCTGAGGCAGAGATAAGTTTTCATGCTTAGCTGAAAGTCTGACCTCAGCCCCATGTCCAGCTTGACCCACTGATGTTAAAGTCACCCTTGGTTATATCAAGGCCAGTGGGAGAAGAAAGGTGCAGCTCAAGAGATTTCACAGTTGCCCTGCTCCATAGCAGAGTTCAGGTTCCTGCACTCATGGCAGCTTCACCGCGCTGCTGACTCGAGTGCATGAGGTTTATTACCTGTGGGAGAGCTCTAATGGAGGTGATGCCACAGCCAAAGAAACAGCTTTCCACCTTGTAGCAGTCATTCTCCTGAAGCACTTTGAGGCATGCCAGCAAGGACAGGTCCCTCCGAGGCCCTGTTACAGTAACGGGTGCAGCAGCCAGGACAAGGCCAAGAGGCCAGAACTGAATTATTGCCTGCAGAGGCCAAGTTGTTTCCAAAGAGCAAGGTGGTTTGGCTGAGATCAGCGTAGCTCCAGGAACGGAGAACCCCTTTTCCTCACCCTCATCCAATTCTGCTGCTGCTAACGCAGCCATTTTTGCCTGATGAAGAGACACAGAAAAATAGATGAGAACCTTGACCAAGGTTCTCAAACAATGTCAACAACATCTTAAACTGCAAAACTTAAGAGTCTAAAAGAGAGGGCATCTTAAAGGGCAGGACACCCCCTGGGGTCTTCCCATTCCATGAAGGAAGGAATGAATTGATTCTGCAGTCTATGCTGCTACCCAGTAGAAGCAGCTGTGCAAGACCTGGCATCCATCTTCAGCTTGAGAACAGTGTTCTGAAGCAGTGAGAGTACCGGTTTTGTGCAATTCCTTGACAGAAGCAGTCTTTCTCAGACACTAAAAAGCCTCAGTCACTCAATGTTTTCCTGTACCAATGTACTTACTTTCCATTTCCTCCAGCCATGCTTAATGACACGAGCAGCCCTGCGCATCCTTTGGAAGTGATTCTTGGCTAACCAGGAACGAACAGCTGAAGATTGAATTAAAAGAAACCTGAGTACAAAGAATCTCAGAAGCTCCTACACACAATATAAGTGATGGTGCTTCAGCTTTTCCATACTCAGTTACCAGAATCACTCCTGCCACTTCCAACACTCAGTGTAACTGGAAATGTTACTCGTTATGTTCAGCCACACTCTTACCAAATTACCTGCTTGGATGACAGTTGCAGACCACGTCTCCTTTGCTAGTTTCCTCTGCTTAAATCTTCTCCAGCAACACTGAATGCAAAATGCTTTCTCATTTAGCACCTCTGCTCTTCTAGCTTCCAGCTGCTCCAGCTGCATCAGGGGATATGAGCCTGCAGTTAATACTTGGGGATGGAGTTGTGCTCACAACTCCGCTCTCTTCTACAGCCTCTTGGTGGTTGTCAGAAAACCACGTGCATGTGTCAGTATCTTAAGACTGCTGGATTAGGGTTTAGAAGTGAGAGCACTTCATTGGTGCTTACTGGATAACATGTCAGATAGAAATATAAGTATCTGAGGGGGGGCACAGTGTGGTAGGAAGAAGTGGAGACTCCCAGTTTCATAGTAGCGGCTGGCTTAAAATTAGCTCCATTGAAAGGGGTTCTTTTATGGCTACATCCTCCAGTATATAAACTTTGCAAAGTGACTTTATCTCCTTCACCTCTTTTACAAAGAAACTGCTTAAGCCTGTGGTCATGCTGGCATTAGGAGTATCGCCTAACCCATGATGCTCTGTGCCAGAATCCCCATTACAGAAGTACACTCCGGAACCGTTAGCCAAGGCAATAGCACTCTTACCACAGAACTTGCCATAAATACTTTGGTTTTGCCGCAGTACACTGACGTGTTTTCTGCTCTGTTCCCTGTCTGCTCAGCAGCACTTTGTCCAGTCACATTCTGAAGGATCTCAAAAACCAGGGAGCGTGATGCTCTGTCATCATCCGTCACTGGAGGCTTGCCTGCAAATGCAGCATTGAAGAGAAGGTATCACCAAACTTGGGAATCGGGACTGAGTAATTGTCTTTACACTGAGACTTCTTGACCATCAAGGGGGGATACACCTACAAGAGGGGAGGAGGTGATGGCTGATATATCAGTAGATCTATTTGGGCTTATGGGAAGAATGTGACAGGGTAGGTTTTACCATGTGCTAGCAAGGAGAAAACCAGCACGGTGTGTTTTAATTAGGATGTAGTTTAGGTGCTGTCTTATTGCCTAAGTTATAACCTATCCATAGGTAACAAATGTCAAATCAAGTCTCAAATGTAACAAATGGAGGGCTCAGCTGTTCTCACGTTGTTTAAAGCCTCCTACATGGAAACATTCGAAAGCAACAGCAATGCAATTAAGAATAGATTTAAGCAGCTCAGTCCTACGAAAATCTGATGGAATAGCCAAATCTCAAAGCTATTGGGAACAGAACAAAAAGCAAGAAATTAGACTCCTAGCCTTAATGTACTGAAAGATGTGAAATGGAAAACAAATTCTACACAACTCTACAGCTTTCACAGGGCATCAGAAGCAGCTACAGGGGCAAGTACTAAGCAGGATTTTATTGCAGCAGTAAGAGGTTATTAAAACCATTTTGGGGACATAGCACACAATTCTTTATGTTATGGGAAAAACAGGTTAGCCAGATTAATCTATTTGGAAATAGAGGTAGACTTAATTCAGACCTGTCCTTGAAAGAGATTGTGTTGTTCAAGGCAATGTTGCATGAGTTTCTGCATGCCCAATGCCGGAACTTGATGGTCTTTGTATCTTTCCATCCTGGATACTGTTTGCTTTTCTGATATAAATGTTTCTAAGGAGATGAGAGCATTTTAAGGTACTGAAAACAAATACAAGCAATTCTAGCTTACAGGAAGACATCTGGTGACTACGGTGGTGTTCATGGGGCTGGGCTGATAAAGGAATCAAAAGCTTATCCCCGTGTTTAGGAAATGGTTTTGCTTTTGTTTGTAGCTTACAACCTGTTAAAGATAAAAAGCACTAGTAACCTATCTCAGTGAGGCATTTCAGCTAATGGGTTTGTAATTGAGGGGCAAGGATATGGTGTGTAAGTCATTTTCCAGCCTGTACTTCATTACTTCATTCCATTTCTGCAAGGGGCATGGATTTCCAGCCATTTTACCTATCTGACACAGGCTGGTACTCACTGATCCTGCTTCCCACATCTGCTGGTTACTAAACCCGTTGGGTGAAGATAGGATTAATCTGGGAGAGAGAAGGGGGTTGCATTAACTTTCAGTATTGACTGTATCCACCTGAGGAGCTCTTTTCAGGGATTCATACCAAAGATGTTACCTTGTAGACTGGATTGTGTTTTTTAAAGTCCATCCTCACTCTTGCTTATTAAAAAGAATCGCATACAGAAGTTTGCAAAAGGTAGAAGAAGCAGCAGAGTCCAGGTAAGGTAGAAGGTCAGTGTGTTCGGCAAGAAAACAAGGTGGGGGAAAAGAGAAGGAAAGAGAAGGAATATAAGCAAAAAGGTAAGTGGTTTTCACATCTACTCAAGAACCAACTGTAAATCAAATTATACTGGGGGGGACCCGAAACGCCATCGTAACTGTAGCTGTTCTTCCCAAGAGGAACACAAAGAAACAGCAGTAAGATGAAAGATTTACACTTTTTAAGAGCCTGCTGTAAGGCAAATTAGAAACTCAAGTTGGTGACAGATTATAAAAATACCTTGAGAACAGTGGTGCCCTTAGTGGTGAATACAGTGACTGTGTCTGACCTATGCGATATCGAATTGGCGCAGTGATCATTTTACTTGATGGCAGAGGGATTATCTAAAGAAACATACCATTTTGCTCAGCAGTATGACAGTTGCTTTTATCACAGCCTCTGTTTTTACTGCATCCACGTGATGTTCTCAGTATTTCATAGCGCTCAGTGAAACTCTGGAGAGGGATTCTGACAGACAAACATACAGTTAATCCTAGGCAAGTATCATTTGCTAGAGAGTAAACAACTGACCTGTTGAGGGGGAGATGTTGCAGAATGGCTTCAAAGGTAAAATACAAATGCACCAGTGCTTTTGTAGTCGCCAACATGCAAGAAAATACAGACTTTCTGAAGGAATTCAGGGACTGCCCATTGCCCAGTAACGGTGACTTTTGACTGTAACAAAGACTGGGTGGGAATTGTGCTTGTTTATGGTAACAGTGAGCTTCACCCGATCGATCCTGAGCTGTCAAAAATGTCAGTAGCTCGGGCCTCATTCTCTCCATCCTCTGAATGTGGTCACAAAAGCCCAGCAAGGGCACTGGCTGCAGTGAGCTGCTCAGCTTGGAGATGACTACCTTTAGGTGAATGCCATTTATCATTTTGGTTTAGTTGCTGAAAATGTTACTGTGAAGCCACATTCCATTAGAAAGTTTTAGTACCTAATAGTCCACATCAAAACATCTCTTCCCCAGCTTCTTAGACTGGAAGGGCACAGTGAGCTCTTGGAGCAGGGGTGTGTTATAGACACATCTGGACTTCGTTAGTATTTAGTGTATTTTTAAGAATCCCATTGCTTTGAGTGCAAGCTGTGCTAGCACTGCTTTTTAGACTGTTACTGCACTTCTGGACTTGCTGAATGAGCAGAGTTTCATAATCCAAAGTGCAGAACAACAGTCCAGATTTGCAATGGGTATTTTTGTCTCCAAAATGTGAAAGAGGTGCTCAAATAAGCTTAAATGTAAGCAGTGAGCAGAACATTTCAGACACCTTTGAAAGAATCAGCTTCAGAAAGAGACAGAATGCAAACTATTTGGATTTCGTGCTTATAGGATCCTCTGAAACACTAACATGTCACTAATTGCTATAGAAATGCATTATGGAACACACTGCTCAAGAATTTTGGACTTACCTAACAGGGAAGCCTGCTGCACTGATGGTGATGGCTTCTACAATTCCACACGCCTGAAGCTGGCTGAGAACCTGAGGCATAAATTGGAGATGGGTTAGGTAACCACTGTGGAAGCTGCTGCTAAGGTCTGCCCAGTGTGTGCTCAACCCAGGCCATGTGCAGCTGAGCTCAGAGCCTGCCAGTAACACCCAGAGCGGGGTCAAAGCAGTGCTAACGCAGTGGGACAGTCCTCATGTGCCCTCTCTTGCAGTACCCACACACCCTGCACTGACTGAATGCAGCACAATATGAAAAGCCAGTGTTGGTATTTTAATACTACTCACATGCCATCAGCAGATTCTTCAAGTGTTTGAAATTAAGGCAGCACTACTCTAGCTGCTTGTCTTTGCGTCAGACGAGGTTCTCTAGTTATAGCTTCAGCATCTGCTGCTCTGCTCCCAAAGGCATGCTTGTTGGCTGATCTCATCTAACTTGTCCTAGACCAGACTCCAGGAACAAGCAAAGTTTTGTTGTGGGCATTCACCATGAAGGTATCTGTTTGACCAGGACTGCTGAGGAGTCAGATCACCTTTACCTGTTTTGATGGCTCAGATGGCAGCACCCTAAACAACCCAGGAGCACTCTGGTAGGAGAACTCATACAGCAATGAGTTAAGCTGCATCTGGAAGTGCTGTTATGCTTACTAGTCCCATTTTAGACAAGCATCATCAGTGATTCTGAAAGGACATTTATCTTGGAAGCTCCAAAGGAGAAAAAGCTATTTAAAAATGTGCTGTGAGAAGAGCTTTGCGAGTAACTCAAGATCATGAAAGACCCAACGCAAAGCCCTACACAATCTCTCTGGGAAGCTTCTCATTGAACCTGTGAGGAAAGGCTTTTGAAAAGTTACCTCTTCTCTTTTAAAAGTCATTGCCTTGCAGTCGGCGTTAGGCTTGATGCATCGGATGTAATGTGGTGTGGTGCTATTCAGAATCTCCATGAGATGCTCAAGTGAACCCTGTAGAAAACAAATACAGGTTTAACCAGGGACTCCCCCTCCACAGGTAGCTGAGCTGATCAGTGCTCTGCTGTAAAAACCATGAAGCAGTATTTTGCAAGGCTGGCTTTACAGGCACAGCATTAGCAGAGCTCTGCCGCAGGGGCAGACTGAGCAAAAAAATCACTCTCTGAGTTCCTCTGTAACACTGTTGATGGTAAATTCAGAAAGTTTCCAAAATTCTAGCAGGGCATCAGCTGAAACTCCTCAAGGAAGAGGCAGGAAGCAGCCTCACAAAGGCAGATGCCCAGCTGTTAAAGGAAAAGGTAAAACTGGAGCGAGTTAAAACCCAGAGAATATCAGAAATCTGAAGCTAGTTCTGGTTTACACCTGTTTTGTTTTAATAATATTTACTGATCTTGGCCCAACTATGCTGTTTCCTCATCTAGTTATGAAGATAGCAACAGAAAGCAGAATCTTCAATGGGGTGTACCTTGAACTTGGCCACCACTGTCACCACAGCTGCTCTGTTCTGGGGTTTGATGTTATTCTGGTTCCTTTCTGTCACAGGAAATAATTTCTGAAGCAAAGGGTCCTTTGAATTCTGCAGAACCTGGACCAGTTCTGGTGCAATGGGGTCCTGCAAACACAAACGTCACTCATTAGGATGGGGACTTAGGCAGAAACCTGCCACCTTTGAAAATGACACAAAAATCTGCACATCTAAGTGGAACAGTATTTCTGATGCCAGCTGTGATGGCTGTGGTTTCAAACCTGACTACATACATTCATTCACAGTCAGGTCCAGGAACATTTAGCAAATCTAGTCCAGTGTATAACTGCTCCTAATGTTGTTCTCATACAACTGAAGTGAGCTGGAAGTCTCAGGACTAGTTTAATCCCTGCAGGACAGTCTGCAGCAGTCTTCCTTTTAATTAAGAGATATTTGATTGCATGACCTAATACCACTTGCTGTAATTGCTGGCAGTGTCAGAACTGACAAGGGACCCTCATGTCTGCGGACTGTTTCACTTATTCCCTGATGGCACAATGAGGCCACAAGTTGGGTTTCCTGGTATAGCAGAACTTTCAGTAGTTGAGTCCATGCTCCTGTTGCTCATAAATTTGCCTGAATTTGGGGGGGGAAGTGCTACATTTATGGAAGTGCTAATTTATGGTTATAGAAATGCCCTGATGTCATCAACTTTTCTACACTCTCAGGCATGGAAGAAGCCCTGCTTTGGTGATACATGGTTCACTTAATGCTCAGCTGAAAGTTCTGCTGCCAAAGCATTTGCTGGTGCCACTGATAGTTCACTGAAAACCAGAGCAAGAATGTCACCCAGTTTTACATGGCCTGAAGGATTTATTTCCGAATCAAGGAGGTATGTCTATCCAATAAGCATCACTGAATATACTTGTTAGAGGTGCTTTGGTTTACATTGCCTTAGGTCTGTAAGATTGTTTTATTTTGGTTTTTAACAGCTCTTCCTGAAAATACCTACCTTATTTTTCTCCACCATTGCTGCCAACTGGTAACAGACTTTGCCAGCATAATGTGAAATAATAAAGTTAGGCTTCTTACTAAACTTGTTTCGACTTAAACATTGATTATTAGACAAGGCCTTCTCAATCCGAGTTTGAAAGAGGTCAGTGTTAGAGGATCTGTTCAGACGGCACTCCTGCATGGCAAACGACACAAAATTGCAACATCTCTTATTCATCGTAAAGAGCTGTCTTTAAAAGCTAAACCACTTTAACATCAGACATTTTACTTTTAGAGTTGCTTTGAGTATGCAAGCCCTGAAATACTGGGGAGAAAACCCCCCCAAAAAATGTAATAGAGGCTTCATATTTGAATCAGAATATCCAGAAGAAAGGGAAAAAGACAACTTGGAATAGGAAGAATCAGCATCACAATGCCTCTAAAAAATAGGCTCTGCAGAAATTCCATAGCTGACAAGCTTTCTACTACAAAGTGTTTGTATTTTCTTTGGCGGCATGGGATGGAAGGCAGGCAACTAGGACAAAGGTATTAGGGGTTTAAATCCACACTTACCTCATTCAGCAAAGAAAAAATGCTGAGGGGATTGCCCTCTATCAGATCAAGGCACTTCTGGTTATCCTGGTAGTCGATGAAAGACCACTGTAAGCCTTCAGCTGCATATTCTTCCTGCAGTTAAGAGAAAGCCCGGTTATTCTGCAGCAGAGGGCACTAGAGCCCAAGGAACTGGATGCCTTTTTGCAGTCTGATGCAGTTACTGTTTAACGAGTTCATCCCAGGCTCAGCCAGCTCATCCAAAACTCAGCTCGTGTTCAACAGCAGTCTTGAGGGGAAGAAAGCAAAGGAGGATATTCTACCCCAGGTAGCTTTATCAGAGAGCACAGCATGGCTGCTTTCCAGAGCAAACAGAGGCTACAGTCACACTAAGCCTCTCCTGGCTATACTGGGTTTTTCCCTGAAGGGCAAAGAATTTGTGGAACTCCTTCCTTAGATTAGGATATAGCCCTAAACCAACCGTTGTGTGTCAGACTTTACTATGGAGCTGGGCTTCATTTAACACAAAGCCTGATCCAAAAGGTAGTGCAGAAAGATACTGGTTGACATAATTCATGCAATATTTATGCTGAACTACAGAACAAACTGGCAGGAGTGTTTAACAAGCACAGGCTCTGGACAGTTATTTTAAAAGTCTCCTGCCAAAAGCTTGCTCAGCACAGCCACTAATGGTGTTTAAGTGGTCTGGGATACAGTCAGGTCAAGAGAGGTAAGAGGGCAGACAGGGAATGATACTATAAACAGAGGCCATGAATCAGATATAAGGAAAGTAATTGTGGGCTTGAACTTGCTTTCCATCTTCACTGACCATTAACCCCTGGCATACTGGGGAAGATAGGCAGGAAAAAAAGGCTGGTTATATGAAAGTATTAATTAAGCTCAAAGAGCTACTTATCTCCTGGATAAATTGACAAAACTATGCCACGAGGCAGAAGGTGCCAGCATGCTGGTGCCATAAGGAAAGCAATTTCCCCAATTCCAGTTAATGGCTAAGAGCATTGTGGTAATGTATCTGTAATGTGGAGAAATTCAATGAGGACTGAAGTACATCTATTAGAGTAGCAGTCCAAACAGGAACTCTGCAGCTTTCAGAGCACTAAGATGAGAAATGGAACGAACAGCGTGTGACCAGTTAGGCAAGTGACTGCAGTGTACTGAGGACAGTGGAAATACCTTCTCTACTGCGAAACAACACAATCTGTGTACCTTCTCTTTCAAACATAAAAGCTGATGAACAGTGTGTTTTTGTCTTTCAAGGTGCTGGCATGACAACTGGGTTTATGAAGCTGTTCTCCTGTGGCAAAAGGCCTCCATCAGGTACCATGTCCTGTTGATGATTAGATTACAAGGTTCTGTTGGACTGTGCCTTCCCACTAAGGTCAGGTCTAGAAGCTCCCCACCCATTTAGGTGCTTTATACTTGATGAAGAGAATTAACATTTTATAAGCAGCAGCTTCCAAAAGACTCTCAACTTAGGTACACTTACCTCAAGAATTTAAAGTGTTCAGCTCTTTGAGGGAAAGCAAACGGTTTAAAAAGCCACAAAGCCAATGGAGCTGCGTAAGAGGGAACAGATTTCCAGTGCCCAGGGGAGAAAGCTGTCTCATTCCATTAACTGTCCCACACTCTCTTTAACAAATCAATTGTTACTCACAACCTACTGATGTCTGTGACATTACTTACTTGACTGAAGGCTGCAATCTGACCAGAGGTACAGGAACATAATTAAATGGACAAAAGATGCTGCTTTAAAATTAGATATTTAACATTTGATCTTAGTGGGGTATTACCTGTTGTGCTTTCAGATAGTGCGCTACAAAGTGCTGCTGCAGTTTCTCATTGGCATAGTTAATACACAGCTGTTCCAAGTTGTTTTCAGGGAAGGCTTCAAAACCGTAAACATCCAACAAACCTAGAAGCAATAGAGGAAGGCAGTGCATTTTATTCTAGGAGTAGCTTGAAGGACTTATGGTTACTCAGTTAAACTAGGGTTGAATAACCATACCTATGAAGTTGGTCCATGCTGATGGATCTGCATAGATGCTTTCATTTATGACCAAAACGAGCCACTCAAACAATCTGCAGACATTGACAACTGGATTAGTTGGAAAACCTTTGTTTGTCACTACAATCAGAGTAGTGTTCTTTTACTGCTGTTTATACCAGTATCACATGGAAGAAACAAAACACTGACATACTGCTTGCTGACATGGAACAGCAGTTCTCTGAAGATCTCTCTAGGAGGTCTGCAGCTATGTCCTATCTATGAATGAATCGAGGGGATGTTGAGAGGGGAAGGGAGGGTTACACCATTACTGAATCCAAGCAGAAGGGCAGGGAAAGTAAATCTTTCTGGCCTCCCTACTCCCTCACGAAGTTGCACGGATTAGCACAGCAGCGTGACCTACGTGTCCTTACTTGGCATAAATCACTTTGGCAAGGCAGTCCCTCCTGGTCTCACACTCGGCTCTGGAGCATGGCTTCTTGAAGACCTGTTGTTGTTTTCCAGCAGTTATTGTTCGAATCCTTAGTGACTCCAGGAGCTCCTCAACAGGGATGTGCAGCAAAGCTCCAGCAGTCTTCACAGAGTCTTGTTTGGGGAAAAAAAACATGGCAAGGTTATCTGGAGTGTCAAATGAACGCAGCCCCCTTTAACGTTATGGAAGGTCTAGAGATAGTAAAGAAAAATGACACTTCCATGAGCTCGCCAACTGAAATGTGGATTTAGGATCTTTTTACCCAAACTTGGGAGAAAGTTTTGCGAGACCCGACTCTTAATTTGGATGTACAGGACCTGTGGAGTTTCAGGTGCTCTATTTGAAATGAAACAATAGTACCAAAAAAGTCTGATGTTTGCTGCACTGAAGCAGGCATTTCAGGCATTTTACTCTCTAGGTAGGTATTTGTTTTCACCTTTTGTGAGCAGACACCTCTAAATCCAGACAGACAGTCATGACCAGAAAAAAACAGGGATTTTGGGGATAGTAGGGAAATACAGAAGAATGAGTATTTGCTAACAAAGCATTTAAGATCCTGCTAACCAGAACTGTAGGAAAAAATATTTGAATATTAGGTAGTTTGAATTCAGAGCATGTGAATTAACAGTAGGAAACTTCACTATTCAGGACAGTGTTTTATTTCTGAAGGAAAACTAGATCCACACTAGTAGAACAACCTGTGTCCTCCACTGCAATTTGACAGATTTGCTGTTACTAAGTTTTAATCATGAAAACTCCAAAGCTTCCATTTTACAAGCCCTGCTCTCCACTCTGGGTCAGATTTCTGGATGTCTTGTGATGTCAGTGTAAGATTACAATCAGGAGTAACAGTTCTGCCAATAATCCTTCTGAAATGACTGTCTAATGTTGCAGCTGCCTTGCCCTATAATGGAAGGATATTGTCTCCCAGAGCAGGGGAGCATTCAGTTTTTGTTTGTTCAGTACTTCGAAACCAAGATTTTGGGTTGCCCGTGACCTTGAGTCTCCTCCTATCAAGCAGAGAAGCACAGTAAATCCTGTCCATCAGGCACCTGCACTAAAATAACAAGACTCTCTGGAGCATGACATGCTGTTGCCTCACCTTTGGTTTTGTCTTCTAGTTCACAAGGCTGAGATTCATCCACTGGATTAGAGAATTGAACATTCCCAAGATGAAGAAGGCCTGAAAGTACCTGAAATATAACCAGTCATTCAGCTTTCTAAAACAGAGCTCTTAACCTCCCTTTAGTCACATGAACAGGACAAACCAAAACACTTCCACACACAAAAAAAGCAAGCAGATTCCAAGCTTCTATGTTAATTCCTAAAGCTGCAATTACTGAAGGAAAACTAAAGTTCACAGGTGCAAGCTTTTAGCCAGCATCTAATATTTAGCTATGCAACTTAATGTGTAGGTGTAGACCCTCCAGTCAGCAGCACCAAACACGCCATCGTCTGTACACTGATACAGATTTACTTCTGCAGAAATCCCACACTACAGAGACATTCCAGACACCATTAGCAGCCTCATGGTGACCATGCTTTGTACCTGACCTTGAAAATATTGTTCTGTGTGGAGTGGTCAATGCCCAAGTGAAACATTGCATCTCTGGTCACCTCGAAGCAGTCCTCTGAAAAGCCAAACAAGTGCTGTTTAAGAGAAAGCCAGGCACACAAACACAGGCAACCACAACACTCCACACCACATCCAGGCTAGCTGGAATTGTCGAAGGAGATCCAAGGAAGCCATATGTGCTTTTGGTAAACCCCAGAGTATAAGCTGGAGAACCAAGTCATTGGGCACTGTGGGGCTCTGAAGTTAGGCAGTGGTTAGAAGCACATCCAAAGACAAGACAGTTTCTAAACAGAGCCACAGAGAGATGCAAATTCACAAGGCCAGAAACTGCTCTTTTAAGCCAGATGAAGACTCTTAATAAGTGCAAACTGAAACTTAAAAAGAATCCCTTTAATGCAAGTGGCTTTGCAACATCTGCTGCTGGCTGCCCAACCTGGGTCATGAGATTTAATAGGACAGACACATTTTTGCCTTCCTGCCTTTAAGGTCACAGCTGTTATTAATGGACAGTCTCTGAAATTAATCTTTACCATCTAAGTTCCTTTCAGAATTTGGCAGCCAACAATACTCAGCCCCTTCTGGAAGGTTCCATTCCAACCTCTCCTCTGCAGTAGCACCTTTTGTGATCTGCAGACAAAAAACAAGGTAATGACTGAAATCTGCCTTTGGTATTTACAGCTCACAGACAATGAAGAGTAACATGCTGGGAGCAGGATTTAATTTGGATACATGGCAGACAGGGAGACTGTTAAATATTAAAAGCTGATTTCATCCCCACTGTTTGTCAGAAACATCTAGCAAGATTAACTGAAGGCAAACCTGATAAAAAATATGAAAGTTTCTTTCATTGGGGGCCTGATAAGCAACTCTGGTCTTCTCCAAAAGGAAAGTCTGAATGGAAGCACTAGTCAGATGGTGACACCTAGAATGGGGGGAAATAGCAAAGATTTCAACAAAGCTTGCTCACAGAATCCCGTAGGTGATGTGTTATTATGATACTGACTGACTATGAACACTTTGCTCTTCACCTTCAGTTTGGTGCAAGCCTAATATATTTTATTCAGAGTTCTTAACTGCATCTCTGTTTTTCTGTTGTGCCCTTTTAGAGATCAGGGTGAGAGCTTGCAAGGAAAAAAAAAAAAAGAAAAGTTGGAAAGGACCTTAAGATCATCCAGTTCCAATCCCCTGCTATGGGCAGGGACACCTCACACTAAACCACGGCACCCAAGGCTCTGTCCAACCTGGCCTTGAACACTGCCAGGGATGGAGCATTTACCACTTCTCTGGGCACCCTGTGCCAGTGCCTCACCACCCTTACAGGAAAGAACTTCTTCCTTATACTTACTCTAAACTTCCCCTGTTTCAGTTTAAACCCATTACCCCTTGTCCTATCACTGCAGTCCCTGATAAAGAGTCCCTCCCCAGCATCTTGTAGTCCCCCTTCAGATCCTGGAAGGCTGCAATGAGGCAGACTTCAGAAGTAATAGGCTTGGACAGGATTTCAAGACAAAAGGTTTTTCCACAGTGATTGTTATTACCTGTCTAACTGAAGCTGGATATACTTTCCAAAACGGCTGCTGTTGTTATTCCGCAGGGTACATGCGTTTCCTGTGAAATTGCCAGTGACAGAGAATAATCAGAGTGATTCCACTCTTCCATGTAGGACATTCAGGCATTACGGGTGATTTGGTCATAGCTCCAGTATTTGAAGAGTTTGACTTTTAAGGAGAGGACCAAGAGCTAGTTTAGACTTAGCCACTACTTTCTGCTCTTAAAAAAGCCTTATTTACCGAATGCTTCCATGACAGGGTTTGAATCCAACACTCTTTTCTCTATCCTTTCCACAGTTTCATTGCCTTTAGGGGAGATAACCGGAGCAGCAACAGAAGCATAGAATTTCATAAGGCAGCGAGATGTCCAGGTCTGCAAGGGAGAGGTTTGATAATAGGTCTTAGTTTGTACCATGTTATTAGTTATGTCACTTAGTGAAGCAGCACTAACTTCTGTAAACACAGTATGCAGCTGGCGATGATGCTGAAGAGAGTGAGTGTGTCAGTTCTGCTCTAGTTCAGTGGAAACTTTTGGTGTATATACTTATGTGCAACAGACACATTTAAGCACTATTGGCTGGAGTGCTTTGGGAATGGCAGTTTTATCAAGGCGTACCCACCTAGAAGCTCAGCTAAACAACTAGTATCTTAAGATGAACTGAATATAACTGGACTTTGAGTCATTAACACTCAGGAAATCCTTTGTTCTCAGCCTTTAAAATATCCTCAATATCTTCCTGAACAGGGATGAATTGTTACAGAAGGCCCTAAGATCAGATCTGAACTCTCCGCTGCTTGTGCCTACACAGGGTTTGCTGAGACTCACACTAAGCTCCCTAATGGACTAGGCTGAGCAATTAACTCAGATGCGATCCCTGTTGAATGATTCAAATGCAGCCCTCCAAGAAATCACAAATGTCACCTAGAGAGCAGCTCTATTAAGGAGAGCCTATTTTACAGCTGCAATCACTTAATGCTTTAGGCATATTTCAAATGAGCTGTGCTAGAGCACACTGGCTATGTGCTCTGTCAGACGGGTTTTTTCTTCCTCTTTGCTCGTTTGCTGAAATACTGCACACTACAAATCATTGGCAAAGCTCAAAACTGAACAGCAATGTCAGAAAAATATCTGCTTACCTTCCCAGCACCACTTTCTCCACTTACAATTATAGACTGGTTTACAGGGGCTATCTGGCTTTGGACGTTTCGGTAGGTTTGCTCAGCCACTGCAAAGATGTGAGGTTTTAAATCCTGGCAGTAAAAGAGAATATTCACATTTAAGAGAACTGTAATTACACAGTTCAACAGCACTGGATAGCACAGGCCTTATCAAATTTATCTGAAAACAGGTAACAGAGCTCTTTTAATGGAACTCATATTCCACTAGACATGGGGGTCATCCTTTAGGATTATTTTGCTCATAGAGATTTTGAAGAACTTGACATCTGTGTTCTGCAGAAGGACAGTTATTTCAAATACAAGGATTACCTGAGGATGAAGTGCAACATGGTACTCTCTCATAAGCTCTGGTGAATAGAGGTAGGAGACAGGCTGAAACGGATTTAAAGCCACCAGGCTGCAGCCAGCATTTGTATAAAACAAGTTTACTGTATATCTTGCTTGAAGACATTTCAGAACTGAAAGACACACCTTCTGTTAGCATCTTTTGCAAAGTGTATTCAACTCTTCCTGTGTCTGTTTGTAACAAAAATCTTCAGATTTGTTACCTATCAGGTTTAACAGAGAATGAGGTGATCAAGAGTGATATAGGACTAACATATATAACAATCTCTAAGAGTTGCCCTTAAAAGATCTGCTAACTATTCCACTCAATAAATCCTGTGCTTTTATAAGGCTTCATATAGTCCTAAAAACCGAATCTGCTGACTTGCAGACAACCAGAGGCAAGAATTCCCCATCTGCACTAGGAACAGACTTTAGCTTCTCTTAACAGGATCATCCTTAAAAGTCTTGCAAGCAATTTACTTTTCAAAACCAATTCCATGGCTACATTTTGAATCAAAGTTAGAGCCTTGATTTCTGATACGTTCTTATCCCACAAGGTCATGCAGGAGTCCTTCAAATAGCATTAAATCTCAACCACACCCTGGCTACCTGAACCAACAATACAAATGTGAGCTCTGCCTGCAGAGCTTGATAAGAGCAGGGCCAAAGCTACAATAAAAGTATTTGGGACAAAAGAAATACAGCCAAGCCAAATGTGACTTTCTAAGGCTTTGAATAAGCTTTATTAGGCTTTGAGTCTTTAAGTACTGTGGTCATGATAGTATTAATGCAATGAGAACAGTAACTACCACATATTAGTGGCCACCAGGGAAAGTGACTCCTCAGGGAATGTGACTCTAGCCTGGCTGGCCGCTTACCTGTTGTAGTTGTCACCGGATTAACCTTTGTGAGGTCGTCAAAAAGATGCAGTTTCTCTTCATCACTGAGGAATGCTCTAACTTCTTCCTCAAACGATTCATTGAGGTCATTCTGGATAGCAGAATCTTCTTTCGGGCCATTTTTCTGGAAAGGATGTCAGATCAGCACCGGTCAAAGGCTGAAAACAGCTGGATTTTCAACTCATCCACTACAGCTCTTCTACTGCTTCCATGTAACTGAAATTCAGTCTCAGCAGGAGTCATAACTTAGCATGTTGGAGATATTCTTCCTCCCAGTTGCCCTCCCCCTGCATCAATGGTTCCCATGGGGTGCTCTGTTTTTAGAAAGGTATTATCTAGCATATGAGAAATGGCAGGCTGACAACACTGTAAACTGAATTCATTGCTGGCAATTTTGGCTGTAAGCAAAGGCGCTCGGAAGGAATGCGTCCTTAGACTCACACTACCTGGTGCTTGCAATTCTGCAGGTTGTTCAGCAGACACAATGTTCTTAACTGGAATACTTCTAGGCCTGTGAATGTCATGCATCCAATGCAAACACTGCCTTAGGCAAAGGGAAGCAGGAAGGACTGGCTGCAGAGGCTGAAGTAGAGCTGAAAGCTGCTGTGGTCCAACAGAAATGCAGTTTTCCTAGCAGAGACTTTCATTGTTAGAGCAGAGACTGAGGGCCCCAAGAATGAAATCAGAGTGCACACATCGAAGCCAGGGGACAGAAACAGTGGTGCTGTAAGAGCTGGCCTGCATTAGGTGAAGATTTGTCCCCTTTGAATCACTTCAAGTATTTAAATCTTAGCCTCCAGGCTCCTGTGTCCTTGACAATATTATTTGGAAGGACACCTTTGTTGTACAAAGGTAATGGAAAACTTATCCAGAAGAGACACTTCAGGTCCTGTTTGTCACTTCTGGGGGAGAAGAAGAGAGAGGCTAGAAGGGAAAATTAAGAAGGAAAAAGATGCCAGTCCTGCTTTCTGCATTTTAGATATTCCTTTTCTGTTCTCCCCTTCTCCTTGCCAGAAAGTTCTCCAATGTAGCCCTACTCATTTGTATTTAGCAGCACAAATCTGCAATTCTTTACAGGTTAACAAAGTCAATGAATAGAATCACCTTGTTTATACAGGAAAAGTGCTAAATTTAGTTAGCAGCATTCCTACTACATGAGCTAAGCTAATAAAGGAGGACATATACTGTAAAACCCCTTTAACACATTACCAAAACCAAATTATCACAGCTACAATAGTATACTTATTTAGGAGCATTATTATCTCTTGCAGACAGCATTAGTAGTTCATTTCCAGTAATATACAATTGTACACAGCAAAGGAAAAACAAAAGCTTAGCAACAGTTACGCATTGCCATCAAAGTGATTTCTGTTACTCTACTCTGCCTGCTGCTTTCACAGAGAGCAGACATGTGTAATTATGAAATACTCTGTGGACAAGATGAGCTTCTGCCAATTGCCCTCCTCTTCTGCCAGTTGCCCTTTTCACCCATGTATCCACTGTATTACACTGGCACCAGCCAAGTTAAATCCACGGTGCAGCTGACATTGCAAGCCCTGAGAAAGGGCACCCCTGCTCAACACCACTTCATTTAAGAAGAGGTGGTGATTGCTGAGGCAAAAGTAAAACACAACGAAAACGGAAAGTACAACCACGTCTGATACCTATGCTGCAGAGCTCAGGTGTCCATTAACTTCACTGAAAAGACAGCCTTGAGGATGGGCTTGCAACATGTAAGCTGCCCCGTTAAAGGCAACGGCATAACAAATATCACTCGCTTGGTGTAACACAGCTCAAAACCACACAGTCAATTAATGAAGTAGGAGTGAATGCACGTTAGGAGTTACCTAATCTTGATTGCAGGGAAACAAGCCAAGATTTCTTTCCTGACACTAGAATTTAATTAGCACATGCAATTCCTGTTTTTCCTTTTACCTGCTTTGGCATCTTGTCCAGCCCTATCGATGGGAATGCTGGAGAGGGCCTTTACCGTAGAGTGTCTCATTCAAACCAGACTGAACAATGCCTAAATAAATACACACAAAGGCGTTTAGAACATGGACACAAGCAGAGCCCAAAGACAGAAGTACTGATCCCAGGGGGCTCAAGCAATGCTGGAGCTAGAAAGCCTACCCACACTATCAGAGTAACAGTCGTACAGCCTGCAGATAAAGCTTGTTTGGAGGGAATAATACCTCTTCCCTTGCATCAGGAGTGCTTTGTTTCTATTCAGTGAATAAAGCAAGGTTTCTTGCCATCAAATTGCAACTTTTTCTTTGTTGAATTCCTCCTGTTAGGACAAATGGAAGAGATGTGTGGGCCTGACGGCGCTGGAGAAGCCAGTGCTTTTGGGAAAGGGAGTGACTCAGAGAAGCTCTGTGCCGCAGCAGAAGCGAGATACACCTGCTGACCTCTCCCTGTTCCCTCTGCAGCTCTGGGAGCCAACGCAAGGTGAGTCAGGCTCACCCCTGATTTTCTGTGATATCCCGGTCACACAGCCAAGAAGAATTCCGCCTTCTGCCAGCGGCTGAAACTGCCATTACCAAGATCCTATTCTATCGAGTTCTCTTATTCTGCTCCTATTCTATTCCATTCCTGTTCCATTCCCACCTGGCATAAAAACACCATTTAGAGACTACTTTGCCCCCCGACCTGAGGCGCACAGAGCTCAGGGTGCACACAACCACCACCAACACCCACCCTGCCTTTGAAGGGTTCCTAATCTCCCTGCGCTGCTCTCCCCCGGGACAAGCGTCGCTTATGGCGGGCGGCGGGGCTCTCGGTGCCAGCCGGACCCGCTCCCGGGGCCCGGGCTGCCTACCCCAGCTCCCCGCCGAACCCGCCTCCCACAGGCTTTGCCGGGGCGGGATCCGACATTCGCCGGGCCCCAAGGTCCCGTGTGTGTCCGTCCGTCCCTCCCAGCGCCGGGGCTCCCCCAGGGACACCGCCCGCGGGTGCTCGGTAGGGCCCCGCCATGGCCATGGCAGGACTCCCCCCACGGGGTTAAAGGCGGGCGGGCTCCGGGACTCCGCTGAGGCCCTCGGCGGTGCCCGCGCTGTCCCCGGGCAGGGCGCACTTACCGCGGGCGCTGCGCGGGTCGAGGCGGAGGGCAGCGGTCACCGGGCAGAGCGGCGCGGTGCGGCGCGGCGCTGCGCTGCGAGGCGGCCGGAGGAGGCGGAGCCGGGGCCGGGCCGGGCGGTGGTGAATCGGGCGCTGCGGAAGAGCAGGCTGCAGCTTCCCGTGGCGAAAGTGCGGCCGGGCGGCGCGGCCCTCGTTTACCTGCGGCCGGCAGCGGGGTAAGTGCGGTGGGTCCCGGGTTATGGGCCGGGGGTCGGTTACACCGCGGTTACCCGGGGCTGCTTTGTCGCCTCGGCCTGTGCCGGGGGAGGCGCGGGTTTGCTGCCCCCCAGCCCCGGTGTTCCCGCACGCTGTGTGTCCCGGCAGCGCGGGTCCGGCTAGCGCGGCAGCAGAGCTGGTCTCCTAATGAATGCTTCTGACATTTAACTTCCGTTCTCTAGGAATGGAGGAGCCTGGCTGGGGGTCACAGTGGGGCTGGGGCCTTTGTAAAAGGGCACCTGTGTCACAAGTGCGATTTTTAGCTGCTGCTTTTGTCGCCCGCTCTGCAGGCCGGGAGCAGGAGCTTCACCGGGGTCACGTTTTTACATCCCTGTTTCATTTACACCATAGAGAACACGACTATGTTCTGCAGAGCAGGACATACAGGAGGAGTGTTCACAGTTCAACAGAGCATCTGGTATTCAGAGATCTTCAGCAAAACCATGTTAAGGATCTTGTATTGCTGGGCCTTGCAGGTGCTTGTGTGGCTGCACTGTGTCACCAGTCACCAAGCCTCAGCATTTTTGCTTTCCCTTGTTTTTTAAACTGAAGAGGAACTGAAAACCAGATGACTTGTGAAATCGGTGCTTGTTTTAATAAACTGGAACACAAGGGGCATTTTGGTGAAGTTCCAAGCTCCCTGTTTGACAAAACTAACTCAGGTTTATGCTTGTGTTTTCAGGAAAAGCAAGAAGAATGTCCCAAAAGCATCTGAAAGAAGCCTTTATCAGGGACTTAAACGGAACCAGCTTGCTGGAAATTTCTATAGGTTTGTCTCTAGCCCCACTCTGCCTGCTCAGCAGAGGACTCCTCTTGATTTTGTATTACCTACACTATGGGAAACCTCTAAGTTCCAGGCCATACAGCCTGCTGCTGGACTTCCTTGTGCTGGTGTCTCCTCTCCTGTTCTCCTGCACAGTCTTGTCTCCAGTCATCTTTTTCATACCAATTATCATTGCAGCCTTCTGTGCCGGAATATTTTCCAACATATACAGCCAAAGAAAGCAGGAGCCCAGGGTGGCTTTTAAGCAAATGGTGAAAGGCTTCCAGAAGATGTCCTTGGATCCAGAATACATTCCAGCAATAACCGTCTTCCGTGTTTATATCAACATCTTGACGTCCATCAGCATTTTAGCAGTGGATTTCCCGCAGTATCCGCGGCGATACGCCAAAACCGAGACCTATGGAACAGGAATTATGGATTTTGGGGTTGGAGCTTTTGTTTTTGGGAATGCTCTTGTTTGTCCTGAAGTTAGACAGAAGTCTTCTGTCCCACAACCAAAGTTTTCCAGTGTGGCCAGGCAGTTCTCATCCATTTGGCCACTGATTTTCCTTGGTGTTGGGCGACTGCTCAGTGTTAAATCTATAGACTACCATGAACATACTTCAGAGTATGGAGTGCACTGGAATTTTTTCTTTACCTTAGCATTTGTGAGGCTTGCAGCATCTCTACTTTTGTCTGTATTCCCAAAATATAACTCTTGGATTGTTGCTGTAAATCTCGCTGTGCTTTATCAGCTTATTCTGAACACTACCTCTCTGAAGATGTTCATCTTGCATGGCAGCAATGGCAGAGACACGAGGGTTGGCTTTTTAAATGCCAACAGGGAAGGGCTGCTCTCTCTTTTTGGGTATTTAGCTATATACATGGCAAGTGTCCAGGTGGGACTATGGCTGCTGAAGCGCAGGAGCTCGGTGAGGGGCTGGGCTGAGGCAGTGTGTCTCTTACTGCTCACAGTTCTTGTGCTCTTCCTCTTTCTTCACGTCTCACAAGTGTACGTGGAGCCCGTGTCCCGACGGATGGCCAATCTCTCCTACTGCATATGGGTGGTTGCTCACTGCCTGATGTTCTTTATCTGCTTAGTGGTGACTGACCTCGCATTGGTGTTCACAAAGCTGCTTGTGAGGGGGTCCAGCGTGCCCTGTTGCTGGGATGTTGTACAGGCCCCCAGTACCAGTAAAAAGCATGAACTGGAGGCTGTGCCTGTCAGAAGGGAAGGCAAGCACATGTGCCTGATCAGTGCTATCAATAAAAATCAATTATTGTTTTTCTTGCTAGCAAATATTATGACTGGTGCTGTGAATATTCTTATAGATACAATCCACAGCAAGACTGCCTTTACATTATGTATACTACACTTGTATATGTTTTTTAACTGTTTAGTTATGTATGTAATGCATGCCAGAAATATAGTGTTCAAGTTTTGGTGATTCCACTCTGTCTTCAGTGGACTAGTTGAACTTTGCTGTAGTTGGAGGATGGTATTTAAAGGGGAAAATTGGTACTTTTTCTGTACTTATTGCAGTTAAGTTGTAATTTAGTACAGCTTTTTATGATTTAGCATTAATTAGTTTTTCAATGGTTTGTTTTACCAAACACATGCAGTCAGTGCTGTTACCTGCTGAAGCTGGTACACATTCTTCTGAACACCTAGGCTTTGAGATTGTTTGCCAAATACTCCTGCTGCTCCTGTAAGAACTCATGCAGAAGAGTGATGTTGCATTTACAGGTAGTGAACAGTGAAGTACTGGTGGAACGAGGTAGCAATGTATAGAGTAGAAAGCAGATGAGAAGTAGAAGAATGAGTAATTATAGAGACTTACCTGAGTCAGGATTTACCTAGTTGAGGCCCTTGCATAAATAACAGCTAAGAATAATTCTTGATATGAAATGTATTCAGTAAGTGGATACTTAAAACTGTTTTGGCCCCAGTCCTGCAAAGATTTATGCATATGCTTGACTTTGATAGCAGTAATTGTATGTGCAATGTTAATCCTATACTGAAATCTAAGTGAGCCTTTGAAGTAAGGCTGAGCTTTATTTTCATACTCACTGATGACTATAAACAAAGACCTCAGATAAAGTGTGATGCTCCAAAGGATAAACTCAACTGCGGATGAATTCATAAAGCAGTTGTTGGAATTTGATAATAAGAGCAGCACAGCCTTTTGTAAGAAAGTACAAAGATCCAAAACTAATTCACCCCCAGCCTGCATACCAGCGTGTTGTGACAGCTCATCTTTAGGAACATTGTAAACTATGGTCTTCAGCTCTACTTTGAAAGTACTCAAAGGCCCACCTACTTGTCTATAAAATCATTTTAAGCAGCAGCTCATTTAGTACTGTGTCTTGACAGCTGAGATGTCTTCAAGTGGGAACATTCTGTATTAATTTTTATTAGCAAACACAGTATGCAAATGGAAAGCAGCATGATGCAGTGGGGCAGGGTACCAGCAGATGTGCTCAGTTTCTGTCACAGCACCCTCTTTGTTCACTTTCCAGAGTGTGACAGTTCCTCCTGACCTTGTTAAGTTGTTGGTAAGAGAAATACATTTAAACATTGTGAGGAATTTAATGGGAGATACAAATACTTAAGAAGTAGAATACAAGTGGTAATTGGTGATGTGTAATGTCAGTGGAGCTCCAAGCAGTGCACATGGGGCTGCATTTTGTATTTCTCCTTGTCGATCGAATGTAATGAATCATAAAACCCATGGAGATCAAGCTTCTAAATCAGATTCCTTAAGGCAGACATGCTGTGGAATAATCTGAAATTTATGAGGTTCTCTTAGCTGCTGGCCAATGGAAAGGTTAAGTCTGAGGATTACAGGCTGTGGCCATGCTGATTTCATGCTTGTTTACTTCCAAATTATAGCCATATAGTCTTCAGAATGAAAGAAAACCAGCCTGTATTATCCTGGGGACAAATGCAATCAATTGCCAACAATGTCTTATAAACAGCTGTCACGGTTTATAGCAGGTTTCTGGTAACTTGTGTACGTATTGATTTAAAACATTTCCTAGCCTTGCTAGGGATGAAGGGTCTCCAGCATGAGCTGAACAGCACAATGCACTCATGCAGAATTACTAATGGATATTAACTTTTGAAGTATCTGAAGCCCAAGACCTGCAGTGAGCTCTGCCTGTGAGCACACATCTATCAACATGATTCAGAATGAAGGCATTAATTGGGTGTGACAAAGCAGAGTTATGTCTGGACAAGCAGCAAACTAGATACCAACTCCAGTTCGTGAAGCAGAGATGACGTGGGAGGTCTGTGGTGTCTGCACCGAGCCCTGTTAGCTCCACACACGCAGCAGGGTGCTGGGCACCTGCTCCAGGACTGGAGCTGTGGTTTGCAGCCCCAAACAAGTGACCAGAAGAGTGGGGACAACCCATGCAGTGCCACAGTACCTCATCGTGAAGCCGTCTGCTGCTTTTAAAGCCATATGAAGTAAGTTGTTCATCACTGACTTAATGAGAGGCAATTAATTCTCCCTGCTTATTGTCGATAACAAATGTGGCAAGCTCTGCCCTGAAGCAAGTTATTAATGCTGTTTAAACTGTGAATAGATACAGATGATTAACCATGCCTCTGAAAGAACCAAGAAACACAAGCACATGTTCTTTGATCACCAAGTCTGTATGAGTGTACGGCACTGTAATGGGTTGGGAGAGATGTGAGAGAAGTTAATGCTATGGTACTGCTGTAGACACTTTCTCCACATGCACCTTGTAGCTGTTAGCTCAGTGCTTGGTAGGAACAAGAACACTGCATTTCATTTGGCTTTGGGGTGTGTTTAGACGAGGAAGATCAAAGATGCATTGTGCAGATCAAAGATACATTTAAAAAAATCAGAAACTTTTATTTAGCTGTTACATAATTGGTACAAGTTTAAGGTATTTCAACTGGTACAAATAAAAGAGTTCAACTATAGCATGGCACCAACTTCAGGAATACTAGGAAAGCAGAGGAGTGGGAAAACAAATTCTTTTGTCCTTGCTGCTGTAATTCCA